GCTCAGCCTGTAATCCCGCACTTTGGGAGACTGAGGTGAGTGGATTGCCTGAACCCGTGGGTTCGAGACCCGCCTGGGCAGCGAGACCTCATCTCTACAATAAATCAAAAATCAGCCGGGCGTGGTAGCGCATGCCTGTAGTTCCAGCTACTCGGAAGGCTGAGGCGGAAGGATCGCCGGAGCCCAACAGGTCAAGCCTGCCGTGACCGGGAGCATGCCACTGCACTCCAGTCTGGGCGACAGGGTAAGACTCCAACTCAAAATAAATAAATAAATAAATAAGAGAGTGACTCTTCCTAATGTTCCAGCTTCCTTCCATATTTCCACTCATCTACGCCCTAGAGCAGTGTTTTCTGAGTTGCAGGTCATTATTCATTAGTGGGTCATGGAATCAATTTAGTGAGCCATCACCAGCAATTTATTTTTTTTAATGAAATAGAAAACACCTGGTGCATCCCAACTAGTGAGCCAGAATATGTTTTGTGAAGTTCTGATTCAATTACACATCTGCATATATATATGCAGATAATGGATCATAAAGTAAAATGGATTTCTTTTTGTATGACCTTGTTAAAGACTTTGAAAGCTATCCCAGCCAGTCTTGTCTCCACACCATGGACCACACTTCCTAAAACTTTCTCACTTGGGCCAATGCTGACCTCCCCCCAAACTATGAGATGCTCAAGAAGGATCATGTGGTAGCTATGCTGGGGATACCCCACAGCACTGCTCCCACGATGTACACTGTGATCAGTATCCACAGTGACACCTCCATGCCCAACCACGTCACCTGGTCCCTGTTCAACACGCTTTTCATGAACCTCTGCTGCCTGGGCTTCATAGCCTTTGCCTATACCATGAAGTCTAGGGACAGGAAGATGGTGGGTTATGTGACCAGGGCCCAGGCCTACACCTCCACCACCAAGTGCCTGAACATCTGGGCCCTGATCCTCAGCATCCTTGTGACCACTGGCATCATCCTCATTACAGTGTTGGTCTTCCAAGTGTTTCAACAGGCAACATCTAGGCCATTATCTGCCCATGGCAGGGGTCCACGTACACTACCTTTTATTCCCTGCCCCCTGTCCTGCCTCTTTACACCGCAGTTTGTACTCACACTTTTCTACAATGGCAGTCAATAAAGTACATGTGCCGGTGGAAAAAAAAAAAGACTTTTTTTTTTTTTAAGGCAGGATTTATTAAGAGAACAGAAAAGCTCCTGGAGTGGGAAAGGA